TAGCTTTGGAAAAAGTGCAGAAAAGGGCAACTCGAATGATAAAAGGGTTGGAACACTTTCCCTATGAGGAAAGGTTAAAGCGCTTAGGGCTCTTTAGCTTGGAGAAAAGACGACTGAGGGGTGACATGATCGAGGTTTATAAGATTATGCATGGGAAAGAGCAGGTAAAGAAAGAGGTACTTTTCTCCCTTTCTCACAATACAAGAACTCGTGGGCACTCCATGAAACTGCAGAGCGGTCGGGTTAGAACGGATAAAAGGAAGTACTTCTTCACCCAAAGAGTGATTAACACATGGAATTCACTGCCACAGGAAGTGGTGGAGGCTACAAGCATGGACGGCTTCAAAAGGGAATTAGATAAGCATATGGAGCAGAGGTCCATCAGTGGCTATTAGCCACGAGGTATAGATAGGGGCTCTGGGGCAAGTGATGCTCTGTCTTCTTGGTGCTTGGGGGAGGGGGTCAACAGTGGGAGGGCTTCTAGTGTCCTGGCCCCACTGGTGGACCTCCTGAGGGCACCTGGTATTTCTGGCCACCGTGTGACACAGAGTGTTGGACTGGATGGGCCTTTGGCCTGATCCAACATTGGCGTCTCTTATGTTCTTATGTTCTTAAAATTTAAAACATCATCATAATTATTAAAAGGGTGGCCACTGCTAATAACAAGAATTTTTTTCCTGGTTGTGGGAGGTTCCTGGCCACAGCCAGTAGTTGTTAACAGAGTGCCAAATGCCTCAGGGAGGCCATATATGGACGTCCGCTGCCTCAGCCGAAGGCCTGGCGGAAGAGCTCTGTCTTGCAACTGTTTTATATACCACCTTTCTCCCCAGTGAGGACCCAGATTGGCTTGTATCATTCTCTTCTCCTTCATTTTATCCTCACAACAACCCTGTGAGGTAGGCTAGACAGAGAGTGTGTGACTGCCCCAAGGTCACCCAGCGAGCTTCCATGGCAGAGTGAGGATTCCCAGAACCTAGTCTGAAACTTTAACCACAACACCACGGTGTCACTCATATTTCATAGGCATCTCTCATAACGGCCTCACCTTTCATCTGGAGACAGGAGCTCCCTCTCTCACAAGCAGAGGTGTGTTTTCTCCTCAAGGAGAGGGCTTTTCTATGCAAGAAGTAGACTTGCCCTGTACTAAATGATTCACAAGGTTACCTAGAAAAATTATTACCGACTATGCTCTATACGAGGAGCTGCGGTGGCTCAAGTAGTTAAGATGCTGAACTGCAGGCTGTGGAAGGCCGGTAGTTCAGCAGTTCGAGACCCGAGTGTGCCGCATGACGGAGTGAGCTCCCGTCTCTAGTTCCAGCTCCTGCCAACCTAGCAGTTCGAAAGCAAGAAATTGCAAGTAGATAAATAGGGACCACTTTGGTGGGAAGGTAACAGAGTTCCGTGAGCCTTGGTGTTTAGTCATGCCGGCCACATGACCACGGAAACGTCTTCGGACAGCGCTGGCTCTTCGGCTTTGAAACGGAGATGAGCACCGCAACCCTAGAGTCGGACTCGACTGGCTTTCGAGCAAGGAAACCTTTACCTTCTTTACCTTCTTATGCTCTATACGACTGTGTATAGCCTGTTGAAACTAGGATCCTGCTATGGAAGACTGCGTCCTTTAACGGGTCACATTAATACTTATGCTTCGCTTCAGTTCTGTTTTTAGAATTCTGGTTGGTTCTGCAATCCAGATCCTATGGCACTGTTTCTTGAACGTCCCATCCTGTCGATGTTATTGGCTCAACCTGTGTTGTCCGCCCTGATTCCCAGTGATAGATCAAGATGGGTAACCGTGTTAGTCTGTCTGTAGAAAAGAGCAAGAGTCCAGTAGCACCTTAAAGACTAGCACAATTTGTGACCGGGGAGGAGCTTTCGTGCGTCAACAATGCAAGTAAATAAATAATTCGTTTGATTGGAGGAGAAACAGCTGAAGACCCATCTCAATATTTCTGCATGTATTTAAAATTTGCAAGAAATTTCTTTTCATTTTACCTGAGTATGTCATTGATGGTAACTTCGGGTATGAATTTCTGGAGCTCCTTCACTTGAGCGTTAAGGAAACACGCTCTGTACATTTCACCCATCCCATAAGAGAAGTTCCTGCACACCAGTTTCCACAAACCACTAGAGGGAAAACAGGGAAGTCAAATCGATTGTGACAGATCTTCCTTCTGCCCCTGTTGTCACATAGAATAAGCACACTGTTGCACACACACGGCCTGCGTTTCAAAGGTCCTCCACGTCTCCATCCTACCAGCGACAGATACGCCAGGCGTCACAGATACTTCCAAACAAGCAAGGAATTAATAGTCCTGTGAAACTTGGAAATGATATGTCCGTTTTTACTTTTTTATGTAGTCGGCTATTGTTACAGGAAGTTTCTCTGGAGCCAATACCCAAAGAGTGATTCACGCATGGAATTCACTGCCACAGGAGGTGGGGGCGGCTACAAGCATGGACGGCTTCAAGAGGGAACTGGATAAACATATGGAGCAGAGGTCCATCAGGGGCTATGAGCCACAAGGTACAGATAGGAACTCGCAGGCGGGGGCAAGATTGTCTTGCGTTGTGGTGGTTGGGGGGGGGGGGTGGAGAATAGTGGGAGGGCTCCTTGTGTCCTGGCCCCACTGCTAGACCTCCTGATGGCACCTAATATTTTTGGCCACTGTGTGACCCAGAGTGTTGGACTGGAGGGGCCGTTGGCCTGATCGAACATTGGCTTCTCTTATGTTCTTATGTCTGGGGCAAGGGATGCTCTGTATTCTTGGTGCTGGGGGGGGCAACAGTGGGAGGGGGCTCCTAGTGTCCTGGCCCCACTGTTGGACCTCCTGATGGCACCTAATATTTTTGGCCACTGTGTGACCCAGAGTGTTGGACTGGATGGGCCACTGGCCTGATCCAACATTGGCCTCTCTTATGATCTTATGTTCTTAACAGCAGGCTAAGCACAACTGGAGAGCTCAGACACGGCCTGGTCCCTGGACAGAGCTGCAGGGGATCTCAGAATCACAAGTTCCAAAATCCACAAGCAGAACAGCGGAGGGTCACCCGTAGGGCAGAACGAGAGGCAGGTGGTGGGGGAACATAATACCTCCTCTGTCTGCCGATTCTCTCACTCCCACCCAAGAGCCTCTATTCCCCCCATACAGGCTTATTGCTGGTTTTGGAGTACAAATGGTGTGTGTGTGTGTTAAATATAGCATGCTGGGGTTTGCAGGGGAGATTTTAGCAGGTGAGGGAAAGGTTAACGTCTCTATCCTACCCGCCAACCCTCCTCTGCAGGTCCCCCTCCCAACCTCTGCATTTGCCTCGAACTCAAGGATGGGAACGCCACCTTTCCCTTCCAGTTCTGTCTCCTGCCTCAGGCTAAACAGGGGAGTTGGTAGAGACCAAGGGCTGTCCGTGAGTACCAGGGGTGGGAATGGAAAAGAGGGAGCTGATAATTGAATCATCTGTGTTAAACGGATGGCATACAAGCAGGGGGCCCGCAACCCTTTTTGAGCCTGTGAGTGTCTTTGGAAATCTTACACAGGGTGGCGGGCAAAACCACAAAACAGCTACGGCAGGAGGCAGAGCCACACACACACAGAGGAAGCCCCAGTGTAGGGGAGAAAGGGGGGGGCGCGTAGTGTTTTAAAAATACACTGGGAAAGAGGCGTGAGAGAGAATAAAACCAACACTGTGGTAGCAGCTGCCACTGAAACAACATTATGTTGATCTGCCCTGCCAACTGGATCTCCAAGGGCCAATCAGAAGCCCTGCTGGGCGGGGCCCGATCCAGCCCCACCCACTTTCCAAAAACACTTGGTAGATGTGAACAAAAGTGTGGGTGGGCACCATGGTGCCCACGGGTACTGCGTTGGCCTCCCGACGTTCAGGAACAGGACAGTGGAAGCAAAACCAGAGAGAAGGAGACCTTGAAAAGTGGGAACTGGAAATCTGAAACTGACGCAGAACCTCAAGGGGCAATACCATCAGAGCCATGGGACAGAATCATGACATCAGCAGAAGCGTCCTCCGCCTCTCCAGCAGCACCCCTGGGCTGAAGCACGAAAGGCCCCCCTGGCCCATGATGCAACCTACCGGGGGCCAACCTACAAGAGCAGCTGGTTCCATTCCACCATTGCCGGTAACAAACAAACATTCATCTTCCTAGAATGTCCACAATAAACGTTCCGAGCTCAGAGGGCGGAGGGTGGTGGGGAAGGCGAACTCTCACCCTGAGCCTGCAGATCAATGCGGACGGGCCTCACCTGTAAGCAGTGGCATCCACGAAATCTCGGAGGCTGAAGTCATAAAATCTGTACCCCTCCCGCTTGAAGGCCAGCACGGCATTCGGCCCCAGCCAGACGCTACCGTCCATCCTCGGGGTGAAATGGATGCCCAGGAAGGGGAAACGGGGATCAGGCACCTATCAGTGGCAAAGCACAAGAAATCAAGCACGTCTTGACATCACAGTCGATGCACACACCCTGTGAGCAAGGCTCCCTCTAAGCTGTGGAGTCTTGTGAGCAAGAATCCTACTTTGTGAGCTACGGGCATGAAAGTTGTGAGCCAGCGATTGGGCTGCTGCGTAAATTAGTTGGCTCCGGAGCCACCCTTCCTGAGCGAAGGCAGAAATCCATGAGCCGGAGGCTAAAAAACTGTGAGCAGACATCACACCACTACAATTCCCCAGGTCAGGGGTGTCAAACATGCGGCCCGGGGGGGCGGATGAGGCCCCCGGAGGGCTTCTCTCAGGCCCGCAGTGGAACTGGCTGTCTTCTGCTGCTTCTTCCAGTTCTGCTGCTGCGTCATCGTAGGTTTGCAGCTTACAGATACACCCCTGAACAGCATACTCAAGATTGCAACAGCACAGACATTCTGATGCAATAATTCAGAGCAAGAGGCGTCAGTCATCAGACACTGCTAAATAAACTATTGCAAGAGTGCTAATGTTTGAAGTGTGCTTTTTAAGTTTTTTAAAAAAACCTTTTTGTGTTCTTTATAAAGTTTATATCTCCGCTACCTGGCATTACCTTTTATGACACACATGGCCCGGCCCAACGAGGTCTCATTTATGTCAGATCCGGCCCTCATAACAAATGAGTTCGACACCCCTGGCCTAGGTTCCTAAGAAGAGAAGCCATGGCAGTGAACCCGATTTAGCCTCGCAGGCTGAATGTGCACTTAAGACTGTGCCCCCCCACAAATGTTCCCTCTAAGCTGAGTTAATGTGAGCTAGCTCACAGTATTTTAGCCTCCGGCTCACACATTTTTGTCTTGGCTCAGGAAGGGAGGGCTCCAGAGCAAACTAATTTATGCAGCAGCCAAATTGCTCACTCACACCTTTAATGCCAGTAGCTCACAAAGTAGAATTTTTGTTTACAAGACTCCACCGCTTAGAGGGAGCATTGCCCCCCACCCGTCGTAACCTGAGCAAACCTCAGAGTGCAACTATGGCAAGGATAAGGGCACCCAGAAGAAGACCTGGAGGACTTTCCTCAGCTCTTGTGGTGGAAAACACCTAGATTTGAGTCCAGACGCATCTCAGAGACCTACAAGATTGGGGGGGGGGGCGGGGGTACGAGCTTTCATGATTCAACGCTCCCTCTGTCAGATACAAGTTGGAATGGAGATTGCTGAGTCCTTATATCCCAGTCGGAAGGTGGGAGGGGTGTCATAAAGAAGGAACTCAGGGTGCACAGGTACGAAGTGCATAATAATCAGCTGGATTAGAGCAGATGGGACATGGTTGGAGGTGGAAAGTTAGCATCTGTACTGAGATAAATCATTCTATGTCCCTATTCAGTTCTATGGGAAACATCATTCTGAACCCAGAATCTATAGAATCACAGAGTTGGAAGGATCCATAGAGACCATCTAGTCTGACCCCCTGCCCAATGCAGGACCAGCCTAGGGCATCCCTGACAAGTGCTCGTCAAGCCGCTGCTTGAAGACTGCCAGGGAGGGGAAGCTCACCACCTCCCTAGGCAGCTGATTCCACTGTGGCACAACTCTCACGGTCAAAGAGTTTTTCCTAAAATCCAGCCGGTACCTTCCCACCCTTGATTTAAACCCGTTCTTGCGAGTCCTCTCCTCTGCCGCCAACGGGAACAGCTCCCTGCCCTCCTCCAAGGGACAGCCCTCCAAATACTGCAAGAGAGCAATCCTGTTCCCCCTCAACCTCCTCTTCTCCAGAATAAACATCCCCAAGTCCCTCAGCCTTTCCTCACAGGGCTTGGTCTCTTTCTCGGTCTTTCTTTTCTAGTTCATTCTTGTGAATGAACCCGAGTCCAGCAATCTCACGTTGTAATCTCCCCTTGAAGCTTCTCACCTTGAGCAACAGAATGCCCTGGAAGACTGCAATGCTCTCCCAGAGGTTTTTGAGTGTTGTGTGATTTTTAAAGCGCAGAAAGCACCGAGCAAGCTGCGTACCGGATAAATGTTTCCTCGGACCAAGTAGCTCTTCTCTGGCTTGAGCACCAAGTAGTCGCCACGGAAAGGCACGATGCGAGGCTCCGGGCTACAGCCGCTGATCTGCGAGAGGCGGTCCGAGTACAGCCCTGCGCAGGATACAATGTGCCTGCAGTGGATTTCCTTGCCCTGCCACAGAACAAGCGGTACAGATTCATTAGAGGAACGACGGGCCTCCTCAAAAGTCCACAGAACGACAGAAGCAAGCAGCCCCTGAGCTGTCTCCTCCTGCTTCCTATCCCCACGGTCTCTTGCAGGGCTCTTTTTGTAGAAAAAGCCCAGCAGGAACTCATTAGCATAATAGGCCACACCCAACAGCAGGAGGAGGAGGAGATTGGGTTTATACCCCACCCTTCACTTGGAGTCTCAGAGAGGCTTACACTCTCCTTTCCCTCCCCCTCCCCACAACAGACACCCTGTGAGGTAGGTGGGGCTGAGAGAGCTCTGAGAGAAACTGCTGGTGAAAGAACAGCTCTGAGAGAACTATGGCTTGCCCAAGATCACACCAGCAGGTGCAAGTGGAGGAGTGGGGAATCAAACCCAGTTCTCCCAGATTAGAGTCCGCGCACTTAACCCCTACACCAAACTGGTAGAAACTCATTAGCCTATTAGGCCACACCCATGACAATACAGCTCATTAGCACATTAGGCCACACACTCCATGTTACCAGAAAGTGTGGTCATCCAGCCACACCCACCTTTTGCTTCTTATTCCATTTACCTTGTTTGTTGTCAAAACCCAGGGCTTTTTTTGTAGCAGGAATCCCTTTGCATGTTAGGCCACACACCCCTAATGTAGCCAATCCTAATGAGTTTCTGCTGTTGGGTGTGGCCTGTTATGCTAATGAGTTCCTGCTGGGTGTGGCCAACTCGGGAACCGGCCGGAACTGCGTTCCTGCCCAAAAATAGCCCCTGCAATGCTGTTCCCTGTGCCAAGGAGGCCCAGAGCATGCATGGAGCAAGAACACAGTGGCCATAAAGTGTCTGGCAGAACAGGAGCCGGCTCTTCAGCACCTAGGAGAGCTCCCAGGGTGTGTTCAAGCCTAGACCTGGGCAGGAGTGTAGAGCAGGGGGTCCCCAACCAAGGCTCCCTTCTAAGCTGTGGAGTCTTATGAGCAAAAATTCTCCTTTGGGAGCTCCTGGCATTAAAGTTGTGAGTGGGCGGTTTGGCTCCAGCATAAATCAGTTTGCTCTGGAGCCCCATCCCTTCCTGAGCGAAGACAAGAAAATGTGTGAGCCGGAGGCTAAAAAACTGTAAGATAGCTCACACTGACTCCGCTTAGAGGGAACACTGTCCCCAGCCTTTTTGAGCCTGGGGCACCTCTGGAAGCCACAAACTGGCCGCCGCACAAAGTGAAGCCTGCCACATGATGGCTGCCACGGCTTCCCTTCAGCCACACAGTGAAGATTCTTGTGCGGTGGTGGCAGCTGCTGCTGAAGCAACATTCTAAAAAAGGTGCTCAGCCAATCAGATCCCCAGTGGCCAATCGGAAGCCTTGCTGGGTGAAAGCCCCACCCGGCCCCGCCCACTTTCTAGAAACGCTTGGTGGTCGCCCGGAAATGAAAACAGATCAGCCAGTATCATCGTGCCCCTGTATGAATCGATGGTGCGACCTCATTTGGAGTACTGTGTGCAGTTCTGGTCACCACACCTCAAAAAGGATATTATAGCATTGGAGAAAGTGCAGAAAAGGGCAACTGGAATGAGAAAAGGGCTGGAACACTTTCCCTATGAGGAAAGGTTAAAGCGCTTGGGGCTCTTTAGCTTGGAGAAATGACGGCTGAGGGGTGACATGATTGAGGTTTTGTTTTTTTTTTAGCACAGGGGCCATGCTAATCTTCTCTGTATCGTTCCAATTTTAGTATATGTGCTGCCGAAGCGATCAAGGTTTACAAGATTATGCATGGGATGAGCAGGTGGAGAAAGAGGTACTTCTCTCCCTTTCTCACAATACAAGAACTCGTGGGCACTCCATGAAATTGCTGAGCGGTCGGGTTAGAACGGATAAAAGGAAGTCCTCCTTCACCCAAAGAGTGATGAACACATGGAATTCACTGCCACAGGAGGTGGTGGCGGCTACAAGCATGGACGGCTTCAAAAGGGAATTAGATAAGGATCTGGAGCAGAAGTCCCTCAGTGGCTATTAGCCACAAGGTATAGATGGGGACTCTCAGTCAGGGGCAAGTGATGCTCTGTCTTCTTGGTGCTTGGGGGGGTGTGTCAACAGTGGGAGGGCTTCTAGTGACCTGGCTCCACTGCTGGACCTCCGGAGGGCACCTGGTATTTTTGGCCACTGTGTGACACAGAGTGTTGGACTGGATGGGCCACTGGCCTGATCCAACATGGGCGTCTCTTATGTTCTTATGTGTTGGCAGGCACCATGTTGGGGACCCCTGGTGTGGAGGGACAGATCTCCTTCCCAGAGCCGTGTCCTTTGGTGTTAGAGAAAAGAGTCATAGAATCGCAGAGTGGGAAGGGGTCATACAGGCCACCTAGTCCCACCCCCTGCTCAATGCGGGACCAGCCTAGAGCAGGGGTGTCAGACACAAGGCCCGCGGGCTCTCATCCGGCCCGCAAGCAACTGGTATGGATGGAAGTGTAAAGCACTCCCTCTTTTATGGTATCTCTTGGGGAAAAAAATCTCATCTTGAATATGATTAAATACATTTATTGGGGGCTTTTGTGGGTTCTCCTGCAAATCAACCGCTTTCACTGCTACGAATACATTGTTTCTGTTCGTATTCTGAGTAAAAAATAATATTGTTAATTGGGTTTGCCTGTGTCCTTTATAAAGTCTGTATCTCTGGTACTGGTGCTACATCTCATGGCACACGTGGCCCGGCCTGACAGAGTGACGTTTATGTCAGATCCGGCCCGCGTGACAAATGAGTTCAACACCCCTGGCCTAGAGCATCCCTGAAAGACTGCCAGGGGCCTCAGACGGCAGACCTGCACCTTCAGGTTCCTAATCAGAAGAGCCTGAGCTCCACACCCCACCTCAGCAGCAGAGCCAGGCAGTATTCTCTTCCTGACCACGCCTGTCCCCGGAATGACCCTTGAGCCGGTCGGGGGTTAACGGCGCCTTAAGGCAAATGGCTGCTGGCTCCCTGCCTATATCTGCCTCTGAGTCACTTTCTGAGACGTAAACAGCTTCTCCCCTGCCCCCGTTTGTCCCCAGCAGAGGGGCCGTGGCTCAGTGGAAGAGCCTCTGCTTGGCACGCAGAAGGTCCCAGGTTCAATCCCCGGCATCTCCAGCTAGAAGGACCAGGCAGCAGGTGATGTGGAAGCCCTCTGCCTGGGACCCTGGAGAGCCATGGAGAGGGGGCTGTGGCTCAGTGGAAGAGCATCTGCTTGGCATGCAGAAGGCCCCAGGTTCAGTTCTTGGCATCTCCAGTTAAAAGGACCAGGCAGGAGGTGAGGGGAAAGACCTCCGCCTGAGACCCTGGAGAGCTGTAAAGAGGGGCCGTGGCTCAGTGGAAGAGCATCTGCTTGGCACGCAGAAGGCCCCAGGTTCAATCCCCGGCATCTCCAGCTAAAAGGACTAGGCAGGAGGTGATGTGAAAGACCTCAGCCTGAGACCCTGGAGAGCTGTAAAGAGAGGCTGTGGCTCAGTGGAAGAGCCTCTGCTTGGCATGCAGGAGGTCCCAGGTTCCATCCCCGGCATCTCCAGTTAAAAAGACCAGCGAGGAAGTGATGTGAAAGACCTCCACCTGAGTCCCTGGAGAGCCATGGAGAGGGGGCTGTGGCTCAGTGGAAGAGCCTCTGCTTGGCACGCAGAAGGTCCCAGGTTCAAGTTTGGCTTGCCTAATGTACGGACAACGGCATCTGTTCATTGCTATTTATTTTATAAAACGGTGAAAGTTTAGAAATGTAAATTTTTTCTACCCCACAGCTCGGGGGGGGGGGGATTCAAAAGATGTTGCTTGGTCTTACCTTGGAACTTCTAACAACAATGGGATATTTCATTCCTGCCAAGAAGAAGAGAAAGTGATGTGTATATTATGAAACAGTCATCTTCACTGGTGCATAAGAAGAGGAGGAGAAGAAGAAGAGACTAGATTTGTACCCCGGCCTTCACTTGGAGTCTCAGAGCGGCTTACAAACTCCTTTCCCTTTCCCACCCCCTCCCCACAACAGGCACCCTGGGAGGCAGGCGGGGCTGAGAGAGCTCTGACAGAAAGTGCTCTTTTTCAAGGACAGCTCTTGTCAGAACTATGGCTTGCCCAAGGTCATCCAGCCAGGTGCAAGTGGAGGAGTGGGGAATCAAACCCGGTTTTCCCAGATTAGAGTCCGCGCACTTCACCACCACACCAAACTGGCTCTCTCAACTCAAACCAAAGCAAGGAGTCTGTGTGATGCTGGCCAGGCAGGTAAGATGTCCTGGGAGGCAAGGCGAATTGCCTGGGGGAACACTTTGGGGGTTAGTGTATGTCGGTCAGACCAAAGGAGAAGGCCAGCCCCTGGTTCAGTCTCTCTGATCACAGAAGCTACAGTATCTTAAAAAGTGAAGCTGCCTTAGAACCAGGGGTCATTTCATAGAAATAGAGGTGCAGGAGCTCATTAGCACAACTCATTTGCATAACTCATTTGCATATGCCACACCCCCTGACATCACCGGACGTGTGTCAGAAGGCAACACCCACCGCTCAGGCTCCACTGGACTGTTTTGGATTGCTAGCGATTGGGGGGGGGGGAGTGCAGATCTGCCCTCGCAGAGGAGGGAGAGCTTGTACCTGAATAAAAATTGG